ATATGAATACATCTTAACTTTGTCATTTACGCAGGTTAATTGCAAGAAAACATTTAGTAAATTAAAAATTATAAAAATAAGCTGAGAGCTAATATTGACCAAGAAAAATTAGAAGCGTTTTTAATGATGTCATTTGAATGAGAACTATTAGTGCAGATTGAACTAAAAGATATTCCTGTATATTTGTGCAAAGGTTCAAAGTTAATGAGAGATTTATTAAAGTAAAAATTATATATTTTCTTTATTCTTTTATTTGAATCTTATTAATATCTATTTACAATATGATCGGTGCCTGATTTTATAAGTGCAGCAATTTTATTCTCTGTAATATTGTATAACTGCAATAATTTCTCTGTAATATTATATAACTGCAATAATTTTAATTGATTGATTTGATATATTGAGTATCTATTTTTTTTATATTTAACATGTGATGTATGATTTGATTTTATAGTGAAATATCGTATCTAATATAAAATATATATGTGCAATGAATATTATTTTATAAAGTATTGAATATGATTTTAGATGTGCATTTTTTTAAAAATAAAATATATGATTATCGTGTAATACTATTCTTTTTGTATTAAAAATGTAGATCGTTTGAACTTATTTTCAAGAATAAGAAGTAATAAAAATCATGTAAATCGAAGAAGCCATTTAAGGGAACCCGGTCGAAGACCGGGCAAAAGCAAAATGTGGTTATGGGGCGAAGCCCCCATATAAATGAGGGCCGCTATAAAAAAATGCCCATGAGGCCGTAGCGTCGCCAGTCCGCCCCTGGTTGAGCAAAAAAATATCAGGTGTGCAAAAATAATGAATGGGCCAGGCAAAAAGTGGAGATGCCTGGCCTGTTTAATAGAGATTAGAGAATATAAAAAATTATTCTAAGCCTAATTTGTTAAATCAATATTTTTTATTGGCTTATAATTTTAATGGTCACAAATTTTTATTAGGTTTTTAGTTTAATTTAATCTCAAAACATGGACAAATTATTATTGACAGTAATATGACATATTTTGATGTATTAGATTTACTGATGAATTCTGATATTTGATAGAAGTGATAACTCATAAGTATAGTGTTTTTAATTTCTAATAGTATAAATAGTTGTTTATTTGGTGTTCAACTACAAATATTTTAGGTTATGCCTTATACTTAAAAAAACCATACAAATCTTAAAAAACTCTGTTACTTTTGGAAAATATGAAGCTGTTTTGGGCAACCTTAGAGAAAAATTGAAACCTGACTGGGCTATAACTAATCTTACTATGCGGGCCTAAGATTTTTGCCATTTGTAGACCACTTCTCTGTTCTATTTTACCCCATCTCATTGATTGATATCCATTTACGAATTTTTTTAATATAATTTTTTTTAGTACTTCTATATTTCTTGTTTTATCTTAAATCTTGATGCCAATTTTAGAATTTTTTTTATTGCTCATTGCATTTCTATTTACCCTGTCTACCAAATGGATTGAAACATTAAACTTAAATGTATACTAGTTTAGATTACATATTGGGTTAAGCTTTAGAACAAATGATTTCATGAGTTTGGCAAACTTCATACTTAGGGCTTAATTTTAATGTGAGGTTCAGATCATATCAAATTATTGGAAATATAGCCTGATTCAAAATAGGATGAGTTTATTATACTTCTATATTTAAATAAGCCAAGAAGAACAAATAATTATACGGAGAAATATCTTAATGTATTTAGACATAATTGATTTATTAATCACAATTTAAAATCCGGTTTTTAAGAATCATTCACTTATAATTTATTTCTTTTATTGAATGAATCATAAATTTTATTTTAAAAACATAAAAATCAATCATATAATATAATTTTTTTTAGGTTAAAATATAATGACCAACTATTAGTAAGTTAAATACTAATCAGGCATTACATATTTTCATTCTTGCCAATCTTGGTAATTTATTTATTTATTTGTCAATAATGCTTTTTTATTTGAAACTATTTAACAAATAGGTTAAACACTAAAATTTACTAAATATACACTTATTTATTGATATAATTTTCTGTTATCCTTCCAGAAATTTATCTAGTATTGTTAAACAGCTCGATTTAAGCCGATTTTTAAAAACGGCTAGCGCAATATTTTAGCCAGAAAATCATTGTTTAAGCCTCGAGATTTTGCTAATAGATATCCAAACCTTTATGCCATTTATGAGAAAAATCTCCAGGCTTGAGTAATATTTTTCTGAATAAAATCTTGAGTTAGCTGTTTTTAAAATCAAAATAAGTCGTTTAACAACACTAAGTTTGTCTGACTTCATGCTTAAGGTTTGAAAACAGTTTTTATATAGTTTATAATATGGTTAATTTGTTGGTTAAATTAATAGAAGATTTAATAAATAAGGCACTATATGATGTTAACACTAACCAGATATTTAGAAAGCCTGTTTCAATGTTCTGGGTGGATGCTAATTATGACTTTTTATTATTTTACAAATAACTCCCCCCCCCCTTAAACTACCTATCAAATAAATTAAAGCAATAATATATACTGAGATCTACTTAATGGCTCGATATAAGTTTCAGAATGATTAGTGTTTCCAAAATCTTGACATACTTAGCTTAAATTTAAATTAACAATCATCTGCTTATGTACTATAACATTGTCCTGTTTTCAGTTTTTTAAAAATTTTTTTAAGAATCACGAATTTAAACGGACATACACATTAGAGGTCTGCATTGGGAGGATTTTTGGACCAAAAGCCCGCCCATCCAATGTTTAAAAAAAATTTAACTCGCCCGCCCATAGTTTTCAAAAAAATATATACCCGCCCTCCCCGCCCATTTGTCTAAAATTCCTTACCCGCTTGCCCATTAGTCTAAAAATTTTTTCCCGCCCGCCCATTATTTATAAAAATTTTTAGCATTACACCTCTACAAAAAGTTTATAATTTAGGAAATTAATATAAGTATAAAAATAATCAATGTAAATTATGGACAATTTATTTGATCAAATTGAATATTTATGAAAAAGATATAAATGTAAAATTAATATTATATGTAATTATAATGCAAAAATAATAATCGACATTTTCTGGATTCAAACACGTTCTTCTTTGTTTTAAAAATCTTCCAGCAATGCTAAATCCGCGTTCGGAAGAAGCACTAGTTGCAGGAATTGCCAAAATTTTTCTTGCTAATTTTGATAGCTTTGGCAAATCTCTTTCTTGTCGTTTCCACCAAAGTAGGATATCCGTTTGTAGTATATCCTCTTACTCAAGTGAGATCTTTAAATAAAAGTGAAACCAAATGCAGATTGCAAACCCAAAAAAAGGAAATTTTAAGAGAAAAGTTTTATTACATTCCCATAAAAGGAAATTTTTAATAGACAAGAATGTTTGTTTATTCTAAGAAAAAAGTTTTATTGTTGTGTTTATTACATAATATAGTTAGGTAAATGTTCTTCACTTAAAAAAAAAACGATTGGTAAAATAAAAAAAGAAATATTGTTATAGATCATTTAAACAATTATTTTTTTTGGTTTATTTTTGAACAAAAATTTTAAATTTCCTTAACCCGCCCGCCCATTGTTAAAATTTCTTAACCCGCCTGCCCGCCCATTCTCGAAAAATTTTTTACCCGCCCATCCGCCCGCCCACTTAGATGGGAGGGCGGGCCGAAATCCCGCTCAATGCAGACCTCTAATACACATACAGGGTTGTAATTTTATTGATTTTTAGTTTGGTGGACAGTTTTCTTTTCGTCTGTATTTTACTTATTTTTATGGGCATTATTTTTTTTATGAAAATAAGGTAAAAAATGAGAAAAAATTTTATTTTATATATCATTGAAAATTCAATTATTTTTTGTTTGTTTTGAAATAAAATTTTTCTAATCAAATTTATTACGAAGAAATTATGTTTTATAGCGATTATAAATCTTTTTTAAAAATGAATTTATCCAATTTCATTCTAGCTTGAAAGATTGGTGGAGTGCGCCACCTACTATACTTTAGCCGTTTTAAAAAATCGGCTCAAATCGAGCCATTTAACAACACTACTTTTGGAGGTCAAAATTTTAGGTCCAGCCAGGATTTAAAATTTTTTATTCCGGGGTCTTCTTTTGGGCTGTCTGATTTTTATTTTTGCTCATTTTACAACCCGGCATGATATTTTTAAAATTTTATTTACAAATTTTCAAAGAGAAATTGAAAAATTTTTTTACAGTTTTTTTCGCGGGTAAATAATAAAAAAAATTATAAAGAGAATTGATGATTGTAAATTTAGTAACTTGAAGCGCCTCAATTATCGCTATAATGAATTATATACCGAAAATTTTTATGTATCAATAGAATATTATATGTTAGTTATTACCTTTAAAAAAAATTGCATTCATTTTCCTCTTTTTTTGCAGACTCAGGATAAAAGGTAATAGATTTTGTGTATTTACTTACCTTAACATATTAACTAAAATATTTGAAAAAAAATTTATTATTCAAAAAAATTTAAAAAAATTACGCAACTTAATTAAATAAATAAAATATTTTATTTCCTCCATACTCATTTATGTACCTTCCCTCTATTATACTCAACCCAACATATTACGATTTTTTGGCATTTACCTTCTATTTTTGTCAGGAAAAATAATTTGCTTTATATTTGAGACCTGTATTCGTTTCGAAGTCGGGCTCGGATTAAATTTTTTTTACCTTTATCAAAATAAATATATATTTACCTAATAGAAATGTGTATATTTTTTATTAAAATTTACGGGTTACTTGGGCCTAAAAAAGAATAAAACGGTCCGGGATTAAATATTAATAAAAATCATGTTCGGGCTTAAAAATGCCTAAAAAAATGATTCAGGGCTCTAGTTTATGATTTAATATATTTTACGTTGCACTACCATGTTGTGGGGTTCAATTTATCTGGGTTGAAAGATAATTAAAATAATTTATAAAATATAACAATATAAACTCTTATATAACTTTTAATTTTGCTATCAAAAAAGGATCCCCTATCAGTATACAATGAAATCTCAAAAATTGACCACCACTGGATATGAACCCAGGTCAATTCACTTCCTGCCATAATTCTATTGTAAATGCATATCAATTATTCCATACATTGACCCTCTATATATGTTTACCAAAGCATCTTGATTTGTCTTACACACTCTATAAATGTTTTAGATGTTTTAAAATTATCATAGCTAAACATATTTGACACTTTGGGTCTGTTGGGTTTGATATATGTAAAGCAGGGTCGGGAACAATTACCCATTATAACGAATTAAAATTACTTGTAAAAGATCTATTTAATTACAATTAATAATTACCTTCGAAATTTCTAAAATCAGTAATTGAATGTCTATTAATTACAAATAATCTTCTTTTTGGGTAATGGGATTACAAATAATTTTAAAATGTTGAACTATATAATATAATAATAGCTAAAATAGGTTCATTTTTACAACAATCATATATCAGACCTGCATAAGTCAAATTTTTCCTAGCCCAGATTTTAAAAAAAATCAGTTTCAAAGCCCGATTCGTGAATTTTTAATCTTAGGCCTTGTTAAAATTTTCTTTATTCTTTGAATAATGTTGCCTGCAATTTACAAATCGTTAAGTGAAATTAAAAATATCATCAGTAAATAAATGCTAAATAATCAATTATATATTATTTTCCTACATATTTTCGGCCAGTTCCAAGCCAGGTCTGTAGACATCTGATAAATATAAATAACAAAGGGTGAATATTAATATATTTTTATATTTATCTTTCTTTTAAGCATTATCGTTTAAATCGAATAATTCATTATTCGTATTCATACGAATAATAAAATGAATATTCGATTCGATTCGTCGAATATTCGATTCAATTCGAAAATTTATTTAACCGTAAATTAAAAAAGATAGCATATTAAATTTATTTTGTAAAATTTAACCATGGATAAAAGACAAACAAATTTTATTAGTAAGATAATATAGAAGCATACATATATAGTATATTTATATATAATGTAGAAAATCAATATAATATTCATATAATGTAGAAGACAAATATTCCAACAACAAATTTTTTAAACACAAAGTTTTTGCAAAAAGTCAAATTTATGATTTCTCCATCATCAAACAAAGGAGAAATATCTGGTTCGCCCGTCATTCTTGACGATATAGCTACTAGTTATTTATAATTCTTCTTCGTCTATCATAAAACAATTTTCGGAAGTTAATTTTGTATTATGAATTATACGAATAAAAACACCCGCTAACAACATTTAGAAATATAAAATTTTTCTTCATTATTCCTAGGAAATTTTATTAAATAGGAATAATTGCAAATAATTCCTACTAATAATATATGATTATTTTTCGATATTTATTAATATAAATTATTTTAATCGAATAATCTCGAATAATAAATAAAAATTATTCAACGAATAAATTTTCCTTACGAATCGAATAATTGTGTTATTCGTATTCGTAAAATACGAATCGAATATCGAATAACAAATAATTCGTTTTAGGTATAAGCATTAATTTAGTTGAAAACTAATTTTTTTTTCTTATTATGATCGTATTCCAGCACATTGAATAAATAATTTTTTTTATGATCAGATATATTATATTTTTTTAACGGTATATCTATATTTTTCAATTTCAAGTAATCACATAATTTAAAAATAATAAATATTTTAAAAGAATATTAAAACATATGAAAAAAAGATATATAAAAAACGTTAAAAAAGAAACATATTGAATGCCTAAGAAATTGGACTGCAGGTTTCGAGAGAAATCTACCGAAGAAGGTAGAATACTTCTTTGGGGTCATCTGTTATAAGTCTCCCTATTTTTGCCTATGGCTATGATAAAATTGGAAACCTTCTTTTTTCGAACATCCCTAGGATGTTAGCTTCTGCTTTTTCATTGACAGAAAATGAGAAGTTAGACTTCTTTGCAAAATCAATGCACATGTTTTGTATTAGAATTTTAGAGTATTCATAATAATGTGGTGCGCAAGGCAAATGCATTCCATCTTGATAAATTGAATATGTTTGGGAAAATAAAGTACCTAAGTCCTGCCAAGACAATGCCTAGAAGACTTCAGTTCGTTATTACAGCTAAAAGAGACGTTTCTAAATTCTGACCCATATTAGTATGTTTTATGTTTATGCATCAAAATTATAATCTTGTTCTTGCTATACCTCTTGACATACCTTTTTTAAAAACAAATTTTTGTTTATAGGCGCAATTACATTTTTATTTAATATTATTATAAAAATAAAATATTTCATACTATCTTAATAAAGCGCGGCCCGGTTTGAATTACGTTTTTACTCATCCAAAGTTGTACCCGACCCGATTCCATTTTTTTTACTAAGATTACCTCGCCTGGGCCTGTTTTTTAAAATCCAGAAATATATTCTATTGAAAAATGGCTATAATAATTATCAGGATTCAGGTTCTATGATTTTCTTATTAAACCATAAAAACATAATATAAAAAAAAGGAAATTGTTTATATGAATGAATGATAAGAGTATTACTAGCAGGTCATTTAATCATTAAAATTATAAGCAAAATAATATGGGTGGCCTAGTGGGTTATGATGTATGCTTGCAAACAGAAGGGCCTAAGGCTCAATCCTGGTAAGGAACGTAAAAATTTTCAGGGTTTTCTTCGATCACTAATGTGTAAATATATATTGTAATGTGAATTTCGGAGCTAAGAGATGACAACCCGGTCACCGACTGGCTTGGACAGCCGGGTGCTAAGGATACTTGTCCAATAAACAAAAATGAAGGAAACAAACGAAAATATGAATATGAAAGCTAGGGCGTTTCCTTCAAGCGACGCGGGTGTAGACCTCCATCCTGTGAAAAGTAAATTTAAGGTCAAAGCAAAGAAGACAAGGTTAGCAAGTTTGAATATTGGTACACTTAAAGGTAAGACGAGAGAATTGGCATCAATGTTGAACAAGAGAAAAGTTGATATAGCGTGCATACAAGAGATGAAATGGAAAGGTCAGAAGTCTTTAATGATTGGAGATGAGTATAAATTGTACTATAATGGAATTGTTAGCAATAGGAACGGTGTCGGCATCATCCTCAGTCAAGATCTAACCTCTTCAGTAGTAGAAGTTAACAGAATCTCTGATATACTAATGAATAAAACTCTGCATTGGTCAATCAATACTACACATTCTTTCACTATATCCTCCTCAAACGGGTTGCAAAAAAAGAAGAGAAAGGTGACTTTAGAGCTATCCTTGATGAAGCTGTAATGGAAATCCCTAAGGATGACCTAGTCATAATAGGTGAATGCGCATGTGGGAAAAGCAAGAGACTGCTGCAAAAGGCATCATGGTGGTTTTGGATATGGAGAAAGAAATGATGGAGAGCATGTACTTAAATTTGCACAAGCCTTCGACCTTGCCTTAACCAACACCTATAAGAAAAAGGACAGTCATTTAATAACATATGAAAGTGGTACAAGGAAAACCTAGATAATATGCTTATCTTTCGCAGAAGATTAAAAGATGTAATTGACTGCAAAGTCATCCCAGGAGAAGATATTGCCGCGCAATACAAGCTACTAGTCATAGATTTACACATCACAAATAAATCCACTCAAAATAAGATAAAACTTGAACCATGCATCAAATGGGGTAGATTAAAATCAATGACAGATGCCTTTGCAATCAATGCAAACATTGAAACAATAGATTCCTCACAAGTCAGTGAAAAAATGTGGACAGACCTTTCATCCAGATTAATAGACACTGTCAAATCGACATTAGGCTTGGCAAGGGGAGACAACAAATCATACAAAGAACTTTGGTGGCGAAATTAAGAGGTACAAATCACTATACAGGAGAAAAAAGCCCTATATTAAATATGATACAAATCCAAAAACCCAGATGGTAAGACAAATTATGTATGAAGAACTACATACCAAAGAAGGGCAAAATAAAATATAAAGATTAGCCAAACAGCAAGAATTCTAGGGATATAAACGGAGCTCCGAAAGTAATCAAAAATAAAAATTGGAACTTGATAATAAATCAAAAAGAATTAATGAATAGATTGAAAGAATATTTTCAGGAGCTTCTCAATTTTAATCCCTACATACTACATCTAGATGAACATTCCCTATGTCAAAACTTATACAACCAATAACAGAACAAGAAATAATCACATGCCTTTGGCATATGAAAAACAACAAAGCTAGGGGTCCAGATGATATTCCAATAGAAAGCCTTAAAGCACTAGGAGATGATTGAATACATCTCCTCACAAATCTATATAATAAAATACTAGAAAATGAAGAGATTCCTCAAAAATGGAGGCAGAGCTATCTAGTTCCTATCTTCAAAGGGGATCCACACAATTGTCAAAATTACAGGGGTATAAAACTAATGTCACACTGTCTTACTCTACGAAAAGAATATAGAAAAAAGGCTAAGAGACATAATCGAAATAGGAGAGACTTAGTTTGGCTTTATGCCTGGAAGATCAACAACTGATGTAATCCACGCAATTAAGTAAATGAGCGAAAAATACAGGGGAAACAACAAAAAGCTACACATGGTCTTTCTCGATCTAGAAAAGGCCTTCGATTGAATCCCAAGAAAACTTATCTGGTGGGCGCTTCGCCACAAAAAGGTTCCCGAAAAATATATAAGAATAATACAGGATATGTATGGCCATACAACAATGGTCAATAGCACAACTGGTGCTTCAACAGGCTTCACAATAGCCGAGGGAGTTCATCAAGGGTCGGCTCTCAGCCCACTTCTCTTCATAACACTAATAGATGTATTATCACAGTCTATACCTCAATCAGTCCCGTGGAATATGATATTTGCAGATTGTGATACTTGCCGAATCCAAGGATGAAATAGAAGAAAGATTAGTGAGTTGGATAAATATCTTAGAAAAGCACGGACTAAAAGATAACAGAGGAAAGACGGAATATATGGTGATAGGAGGAGATGAAACAGAGAGCATTGTTATAAATGAATGGCAGATATCGGCAATTAAAAGCTGCAAATATTTGGGCTCCACTATACAAACAAACGGCACAATAGAGAAAGAGATAAAGAATAAAATTAATCAAGGGTGGTTAAAGTGGAGATCTTTATCTGGAGTGCTCTTTGTCAAAAGAATCCCACACAAATTGAAGGGAAAAATTTACAGTTCCATAGTACAACCAACTATTTTATATAGTTCGGAAACATGGCCAACCAAAGGATCAGACGAGAGAAGTCTACAAACTATGGAGATGAGGATGCTGAGGATGATTGCTGGGGTAACAAGAAAGGATAAGGTGTGAAGTACAAGAATACTAGGAAGTTTAAAGGTAGTGCCCATTAAGAATAAGATAATGGTAAACAGACTTAGGTGGTATAGGCACACAATGAGAAGGCCTATGAACTACATAGAAAATAAGGTTGAGAGTTTGGAAGTGATGGGCAAACGTAAAAAGGAAGGCCAAAACTTCAATGCCATAAAGTTAGAGCCAATATGAAGAAGTATAAATTAGATAAAAGAGATAGTATGGATAACATAAAGGAGAGAGATATTGAAGGAGCTTACCACCAGAAAAGGTGAAAGCTAAAGAGAAAATTTTTTTTTAAACTAAATTAGGCTTTCGGATAATTTTATATCTATTCTTTATTAGGCGCGCCGGGCGTCTCTACTTTTTGCCCGCCCGACCCGCAATTTTTTTTCACCTAGCTCGGCCTATGGGTCGGGCATTGTTGATATCTCATCCCTACGTCACTTGTTATTACTTTCACTTTCGTCAATTTCAACCTATATAATATTTTTTCCTCATTTATTTTTAACCCTTTAGATTAGATTATTACTACCTACCTATATTATTCCCCTCTCAGTTATAAGCCAAAACCGGCCGAATGAATAATTTTACAGGCCTGGACATGGAGCCCCTGAGCCTGTACCAACCCTCTCGCGGCAATGATCGGTTCGACGGCGAAGATAATAACGATTTTTTGGATTCCAACATTCCTTACAAGCTTATGCTCAACGAGATTTTGGTTATAACTAATATGGGTTTTTGTTAAAAAAAAGGAAATATAATGTTACGATCAGGGACATGGAACAAAACTTTGAGTAAATTTATGGAACGGGAATGGAAGGTGTATTCCGAAACCTTCCCAAAACGGTCCCGGAACGTTCCTAAAAATATAAAAATTTCTTATTTATTTATACTAACATCACATAGAACCAATATAAACATAATATTTTAGAAAATATTTTATTGCTTCGATATAATAATTGATTGATTTTATGATTAAGATTAATTAAAATGTGTAGATTTAAATAATATATTTAGATATTTTTCAGTGAACTTTCCGAAAGCTAGAACGGAACCGGATCTGGACAATTTTTCGAACGGAACGAGAGCGCGAAAATACCCAGGTTCCGGGTCCCTGGTTATAATATTAAAACGAAATAACACCCTTCATTCTTTCTACCCAAACCTAGGATTTTGACGTTAATAACTCGCTATTTTCGTTATTGGGAGGCTTCGATAATCAAGACTCTTTAAAAGACCAATTTCTGGACGATTCTTGTAATATATATTTTTAAAACGGCATAACTCAGAGGTATAATTAAGTAATTGCTGCATTTTTAGATATTTTTAATTTGAAAAGCGGCTAAACGACTTTTTTAGTCGAAAACTATCCCCTCAGCTTTGGGGTTCAAAGCTGATCGAATTTTTTTCGAAGCGCACCTGTGAATTGAGCCATTTTTATTATTTTTTTAAATTCATTGTTTTTTTAAATGTATTTTTCTAAATATTTTACATGTTTTCAATATTGTTAAAATAAATTAAAAGTTTTTATAAAAAAATATACATAGATATAGGCATGGGCGGCTTTTAGCCTACAAATCTTCCCGTTCATTGTTTCAAATTATTTAGTCCACCCGCCCTTAGTTTTGGGGGAAAACTCCACTCACCTATTGTTTTATAAATTTTACATCTGCTTTCTACCTGTTTTTAAAAATTAATTGGATTGGTTAGAAATTTATAATTTTTGAATTAGGCAAATAATTTTTAATAAATATAAACAGCCCTCCGCCTGTAAAATATTTATTAAATAATTCGCTCTTAAGACCCAACCATTGATAAAAAATTTGTCAAACCGGCCTATTTTTAGCATCACCTTTAAAAGATACCACCTTTATATATTATTAACCACCTCGAACGATTCTACGAGATTATCATGCATGGGTGAAACAATTTCGATTGGTTATTTTTTGAGATTTATCTTTTGAGCATTTTAAAATACTTTATCTTTATTATGCATTTTTTAACAAAAAATTATAATTATTATAATATACCATTTTACAGTGTTGTGCAGATTTAATGGATTAACAATTTTTTGCAAGGTAAATAATTTTATTTGCAAATAAATTTAAAAATATGAAAATGTTCCATTAACTATTAAAAAATTATGCTTTATAACAACCACCAATGTATAATGAAAGCTATCATATTACTTATATATTATTAAAAAAATATATTTTCAAATGGGTTTATATTTGAACAAGTTGTACCATTTCAGAGTAAAAAAAATTTAATAAATAATAAACTATAAATATTTATGCAAATTTTAATATGGCATGAAATTACAAGAGGGGTGTTGCTATCGTTTTCTAAAATCGAAATACGTCATTTATTATAAAAAAAATTTGAAAAGTATTAAGCCATTTCCAGATAGACCTTTTCACAACGATTTAGGCATGTATTTCTCTAATTTATTATTTATTCCTAAACAAAGAATTGGTCGAATTAATTTTTTTTGCATTATAAGATATTTAAAAAATAGCTGATCGCAAACTCTCTCATCAGAGACCTTCATGGGCCTATACACGACCCACAGGCCTAATATTATATTTTCTAGCCAGCCTAGGTTTTTAAATTTTTTTTAATGCGCTTAGCTTAGCCAAAAAATTTTACTTAATTATTGCAATTTTTTTCTTCAAATAATAAGTCATTTCAGTATAGCAAACAAAATGATTGCCTAAATACACTCACTGAAATATTGAATATTTTCATTGAATACAATAAATTAAATTTTCGAAACTTTGGAATTTTTAAATATTAATTACTAGTCAGGCCTTAAAATTTTTTTATTGCGGACCTGGACTTAGCCTGATAAAAAATCCATGCCTATAAAGGTCTCTGTCACCCACACGCCATTTAATCGTTAATAAAAAAACACGATTTTTATTTTTTATTAACGATCAAATAGTGGCAAATTTAAATTATGAAAAATAAATAATTTAACCCAATATTATCCTTTTGGTAACAAATAAAATTGCTGAAAACATGTCTAGAAAACAGCTTTGAAAAAAAACGTGTTTAGAAATGGCTTAATTGCAATCCAATAAAAGTATCATTGAAATCAATATTTTTTCTAGTATTAAAATGATTGACTCAAAAGTGGTATATAATAAGCATACCGGCTTTGAATTCTAAGTAGTTCACTGCTTTATTTCCTTGTTTTGTTTGTAGTTGTTAGATATTTCAAAGGATTAGATGTATTTATTGACATATAACTTGAATATAATTTTTTTTTGCTCTATCACATTTGTAGGATGGACAGCATCGTAAGTAAAAGATATTTGAGTTATGGTTGACTTTTGTTACATCTAATGTGGCGAAAGAAACTGATGGTGAAACTGGTGGTAGACATGTCGATTTGAAATAATGTCCATTCCTTTGTATGCTCTCGTTGACGTATCAAGAACTGGGTTTTTTTTATAATTTTGTTAGACCTATGTCACAAAACTATATAAGAAGAGTAAGATTGGTTTGTCTGTAGATGTATCCAAATCGATTGTTTTCAGAAAGTTACTCAAGCAAGTATTATTTTTTCATTGTAACGTCAAATAAATCGAATAATAATATTCGTATATTTTTTAAAAGCCTTTTTCTTGTACGCTAAGAAATGATCACTTTTTTACTATTAAGCTTGTGCGTGGCTTAGAGACCTGCAAAATGATTTTTTTTTCTGCCCTAGACCACACAATCTTCTAGGCTTGACCCGTTCCTACTAGCAGCTTGAAATTATACTCAAAATATTTATTTTGTTCTCTATTTTTAATGTTATACGTTAAATTTAAATATGCAGCGATAACCTTGATAATTTAATGATGTTTCCCTATTTTATTTATTACAAAATTATTCTCCTGGTTTTTTTTAAAAATCTCTTCTTATTATTTATAATTATGATTGATCACTTAAGGCTTATAGAAAGAATAGGAAGGAAAATTTTTCGGGCCACGAGCTGCGCCCATATTTTGTTGATAATTTTCTGGCCGGTCCTGCAGAGCTCTTAGTTTAGTTTAAATAACTAATTTCGTTTTTCATAAAAAATAATATCACTAACACAACTGGCATAGTCACTCACTACTAGGAATTCAGATGGGGACTCTGCTCCAAAAATCTTTATGATGCATCATTTCACCATTGGTCCAAATAAGTCTGTTATATCAAAAAAGATTACTAACCCAAAAAATTAAAAAATGTAACACGAATAGCGCAGTTTACCACAAATTTGTTCGTGTTACTAAAATAATTTAACATTTTCGTTTTTTATTATCAGGATCTAGAAGACAAAAAAAAATATATATATAACAGATAGAATTATGGTGAATTTAGAATATATTTAATTCTATATGGTGCATTGTAGTATTTTGTTTTTTAAAAAAAGATTAAATGGAAATATGCACTTATAGAAATTTTTTTTAAAAGAAAATTTAGATTAAAAAGAAGAAGAAAAAATTCTAAAAATAATAAAGAAAGGATAAAATGATTAAAAAAATTGAAATAATAATATTAGGTATAAGATAATAGGCTTTCTCATCCATTAGATAGAATATATCCGTTCTCCCTGTTTAAATTATTACTGTTTTTGATTACACTTTCTCTAATTAGTCTTTTGAGTAAATTCTTTTTCTTGTCGAGGACATGACAATTATTGAAATTAATAACTTATTAGGATAAATATTTATGTGTTTCGCAAGGGTAAGAGGCTTGCCTATCGGGAACAAAATAGATAACTAAAAAATAAATAGTTTAATTATATAAATAAACAATTCCAAACACAAATATACTAACTATCACATCAAAAGTGCCTTCCAATGATTTAAAAGATTTTTCTTTGGAGTCAATCAAATAGATTACCAGGAAGAAAATATATAAGACAAATATTTTTTAACAAATAATACTACAATAAATATATTAATGATTTAAAAAAATATTTATATATACTTTTCTTTCCTCTAACGTTCCTGTTGAGCACTTCTTTACTATTGCTAAACAAGTTTTAGTGGAGAGGCATGATTATTTATTTTAGAAAATTTGCTACTATAAAAAAAATATATGATTTTGTTTTGTTTACTTTATAATATTATCACTAAATATCAGAGTTGTTAAAGTAGCGCGCTACTTGGCGCGCTTTCTTTTTTGGTAGCTATAGCTAATAGCGGCTACTTTTTTTGTAATCATTTAATTATTAGCGCGCTACTTTTAAAAAATATAATGAAGGTAAATATAAACATGAAAATTTAAATATAATATCATAATTAATTATAATATTTATGATTTATTATTAATTTTGAAATTAAAATATATTTTCAATTTTGTAATTTATATTTTCATTTGTATTAAACTTAAATCACGTGTTAATAATTTATAATGTCATCGCTATGGATATCCAAATCGTTGATAGTGATTCAGACATTTATATTAATGAAATGGAAGATACCAGGGAAGAAAATGTTCTTAATACCTATAATACAAATTTCCCATTCCCTAGATTTGAATAAATTTTTTAAATAAATATAAAAACCAATACTGGCTACAATTATTTGTTTAAAATGTAAAAAAAATATTTCCTCAAATCAATCCAGATATAATCTCAAGAAACACCAAAAGGTAAATTGTCATTTTTACATTCTAATAGTATTTATTTTATAAGACTGTTCATGCCAATAGTTTTAAGTTAATGGAGAAACATTTAAATAATTTTGGTATAGGCGACTCTACTTCCATAAAGACTAATTCAAACCAAATTAATTAATAATACAAATACCAATATTTCTCAGAAATTGGCTGATAAAGTTATTGTTGATTTTATAATTGATACAGTTCAGCCAATGACCTTGGTTGATAATCCATAATTTACCATGATGATCAAGACTCTATCCCCTGGTAAAACAATTTTATATCGCCAGACACTAATGAAAAAAATAGCAGATAAAAAGTTATTGTTGATTTTATAATGGATACAGTTCAGCCAATGTCCTTGGTTGATAATCCATCATTTACCATGATGATTAAGACTATCCCCTGGTACAACAATTTTATGTCGCCAGACACTAATGTAATATAGCAGACTCTAAAGTGATGAAAGATGCTCTAATAGTAGAGTTATCAGAGATATCATATATATGTACCATGGCAGATAGTTGGACACATAACACTAGGTAAAACTTATAAAATACGACAAATTACCATAAATATTTATTTTTATAATCAAAACTAACTATATTTTAATATTTATAAATGCTGATTTTATATATTTATATACAATATAAGCAAAAAATAAAACAAATTTGTTTCTAAATTTTTTTTATAAAAAGTAGCTAATAGTGCGCTACTTTTTTTGACAAATAGCGGTAGCGCGCTACTTTTTTTGACAAATAGCGATAGCGTTAGCGCGCTACTTTTAAAAGTAGCGATTAACAACTCTGCTAAATATAAATTGAAATGAGGGTATGAATAATACAAATTGGAAAGAGATATTATAGGAGCTATCCACCCAAAAAGGTAAAACTAAAATAAATCAAAATCATAATATCTCCTTTTAAAAATTCAGTAGCGGAAGCGGGAGCTAGCTCCTTCTAAAAAGCAGCATTAACAACTCTGAATACATGTCATTTAATATTTCTTAGCCACCCCACCTTCTCGCTCATTGATAGGTAATTCGCCAATCGAAGACATTGTAATGGCTGATAATCACGTGATTCACACATCTCAGCTAAGACACGATTTTGAAGTCCAAAAGGATCCACTTTTTAACATCCAACCACACAAGGTGATAAAATTTTAAACTTTGTTTTTCTTTCAGGGTAGAATGAATTTATTTTTTTAAAAAAAAAATTCAATAAGAGTTGACATAATTTGTTTATAATTCTCTCAAAGCCATCCATATTACCGCCCACTCTTTCCTTCAAAGCGCTCAAACATCGCAGTGATCTCCAAAATCACGATTTGCCATCACCTGCTGGTAACACGGACTCTGATGTGGAACTCGCTATGGCGGATAATTTACAATTTTTCAAAGAAAATTTATTCAAAAACTTTAAACCTGACGTCGATGATGTGATAATCGTAATAGATAACGTTAATAATGGCTCGATACACGATATTAACAAGAATGGGTTTTGTCCAACAAGATCAGTTGGTAATGTTATAACTGATCAGCATGTTAGACCATATCCACTAGGACCGCTCAAATATGCCTCCCCTACAACCAAGTTTCTCATTCTTTAATTAATTTTTTTTGAGGTCGAAATTAATTTATATAATTTAAATAAATGTTTATTCGGTACATTTAATGTCCATAAAAATAAAGTGCTTTATTTGTTAGTCTTTAAGATTTAAAATTGAATAACGACTGAATTGAGTCATAGAATTTTATTTTTGAGTCTATATGATTAAATTGATTGAAATCCCGATTTGAATTAATCATTTTTTTATGAATCAATTCTTTTTGCTTGTATTTTAAAATAATTGTTAGTTTTTATTTTTCAAATTAAAACATTTTTATTATACCTCATTTAAATGATACTTTGTTTAACAAGTTTCTAGTAATTGTTAGCAAAATTTTTTCTTTTTATCTCTTTCTACCTCGACTAAATTAGTAACTAATTTAGTGAAATAATTAATTTCGTTGTCCACGATTTTCAAACAAAATTCACATTTTAATTTAATTCAAGTTTTATTTTAAAGAAAACAAATCCTACATAATTTTTATTTTAAATAATTGCTATGAAAATTTTTTTAAAAATATGATTAATTGTTTTAATGGAAGCTTGTATATTTTTCAAGTAGTTATTTTTGGAAGATCAAGAAATATTAAAGATAAAGACGATTTATTAACAAAGACACACTTTTGGAGACTTCCATTCAAATTTCAAGATGTAAATAATGATGCAGCATTCATGAAAACATATCTTTTTAATTTATTAGGCTCACTATTAAAGAACTCAAATAAGCAATCTTACAAAATTGCTAATACAGATCGACTATTCATTACATTAAGATTATTATTATTATTATATTGATTTTTTATTTTTTGAAAATAGATATTTATATTAGACAAATCCTTTAGGCTTGGCTTATAGAGTTTCCAAATCAGTAGTTTTGGAAGTATTTGGAAGACTGTACTGTACAAAGTCATACATATGCCAGAATCTTCTGAAAACGATTCAATAAAGTCTGATATAAGTTTTGAGATAGTATTTTTCAATGATACAGATGTACCTTATACTGTAGAACTTGCTGCAGACAATTTTTTATTATATGTTTGCATCTCAGGTGTCATATTAGCATAACCTCGTTCACTAAATGGGTTCATAATACTTTCATTAAGGGGATATGCTACATCAACAACAAAAAGATATGGGGAGGTATGTGGCATATTTAAGGATTTGTTTATCATTTTCGAGCGAATGTTTATTTATTAATGCTAGTACCATCAGAGTGTTTCCCTATTTATAATTAGTAAGCAACATTATTAATATTTATATTTACAATAATCTCATATTACCATCATTAAACATCTTTTATTACTGTCAGTAATAGCCTCGAGTCTCATATTGAAAAACTTTTATAAATAATATAAGATACCAGATAGAGGCGGCTTATTTATCATACCGTGGTTTCCTATATATGTATTTATTTAAAAAAGTACAATCTAAAGCACCACATTGAAAATTTATTTCTCAGTATAAGATGCAATTTTCTTGAAATCTTTTTCTGAAGTTATGTCAAATGTATGCTTTGTTCAGCTTTCTAAATTGCTGAACATATTTCCAAAACTATTGTCGAAATAGTTTGATTTGAAAACTCTCTATTTTCAAAAATTTAATATAATAATAACTTAATGTAATGAATAGTCATTCTGCATTACCAATTCTGTAAGCTTGCTTATAGAATGGTGAGTCTTTCAAATTATAAGATAATAGAAGGAAAGTTTCATCCTAAGAATTCATAAATCCTGCATCATCATTTACTATATCATGAAAAGTTAAATGGAAGGCTCCAAAAGTGGGTTTTTTAAAATAATTCTTCTTTCTCTTTATCGTTTCTTGATCTTCTAATAATAGATAAATTAGACTACTGGAAAAATATAGAGATGATTAAAAAAATTAATTTGTCAAATTAAAATGAAAATTTAGCATATTGTAATTATTTATAATAAACACTTGAAATATTTTAAAATACGAATTTAATTTAAGATGCGTGGACAACTGAATTAATTAGTTCACAAATTGTATTTTTCGCCTATCCCAGTCTAAGCAGTATCAACCTTATATTTAATGTTGTGATCTGTATTTCTTGGGTCACATAATAAATTTTGCGCCTTAACATCATTGAAAAATTCAAATACATTCATTAGTTACTAAAACTTTGTACTAAATTCTTAACTTATTTAGTCTAACTAGTACTAGGTAAAATGATTATACAAAATAAACTATTATAAAAATCAAATTCCACAAGGAAACAGATGTTTAATGTAATAAGGGAATGCTCGATTACTTTGGATTCAGATATCCAAACCGGTATTTTGTATCGAATCTAAACTGGTAAATGATTTTCTATCCAAACCTAAATTGGACCTCTAAAAATGCTTGTGAACCTCATGATTTTATGTTTATAAAATAATGTGAAAATTATTACTAGTATTATTAGTCAAAATTCTAATTTATATCCTAATTGTTTTAAATATTATTAATCAATTTTAATTGATAAGATTTTTTAATATAAACTTCCTATTTTTATATTGAAATAAAAAATTGTGCTTTCTTTACATATAATTACAAATGTAAGTTTGTATACAAAAAAATTCAACCCGGTTTTTAGAGGTTCGAATGGAACCGATAATTATATTTTAATAACCTAAACCATGTATATGGCTTCCCTTATCATTTTTTCCCCATATGATCATTCTATCTTATTGTTAAAAACAAACTATTCTTTATTGAATTAGATCGGGTTGCACAGAAAATCCTACGGTTAACACTTCCTTAACCAAAATTCCTATTGTAAAAAACTGTCGCTCTTCTAACGTCAAACAAAGTAATGATTTGTCCTTTATTGCAAACTTTTTAAATGAAAAAAAAATATGATTTTGAAAAAATTTCTCATACACAGCTTCACCCTCTCCCATATTACCGGCTTTGTCCAAAGGCTCTCGCCTGCCACCAATCATCTCACCCCGTCAACCTATTTTCAGCCTCAGTAGAAATAGTAATACTAATGTTAGTGACGAAAATAGGAGCAATGCGATTAACACGAAACAGCAAATTTTACGAAATCACGACATTAGTGCACTGCCTGCCGCAAAAAATTTGGACGTCTTTGATGTAATCAATTGCACCAATGATAAGAATAAGGCCCTTATAAACGACATGTTCCAAAGGTTGATACCTTCAAATGAGGATAATATCAATTTTTATCAAAACTCTCTATTTGATATTGGCACCACTGAACGTTTACCCTTTTCTTCGAAACAAAGTCATTATGTCAAAAGAACGATTGATTCTCCCATGGGAATGTACGGTTCGAACGAAGAGGTTCTATACCATTTATTTATTTTTATATAAACTTGTTTTCTCTTTTTTAATCACATGTTTTCAATCTAGCTAGCCCACTATTAACACTTTCTTTTTATGGCTATATGATCACTCCAACGCCAAATAATTATTTGCTTTTAGCGGACAAAGGAAATTATATTATCACTATTAATATTTAACATTTATAAAATACATTGATTATTTTAATTATAAATTATATTTTAATACATTTTTAGATTTTATGGAATTGCTATTTTAATTATTCTTTTCGCAATTAAAAAGCACCTGATTTGTAAAAGAAAATTTCTATTATTTATAGTATTAACAAACACGTTTTTAATGGCTGATTCAGAAAAATGATGATATTCTGAAGCAATAGACCAAATATCATAAAGCTTAGATCTGGATGATAAAAAAATCCTTATTTTGAGCAACATTCTGAATCTGATCGTTGTTAAAATGTTACAATATGTGATAATGATAAAAGACAACATAAAACTTAAAATGAAGTGTTCCTACTCTTTGGCATTGTATTTTGCTGATGCTCGAAGTCGAATGTAACAAAGGTCCCATTAATAACATGTTAATGGAGAGAGATGATCTAAAATTATTTCATTCATAATACAATTTAAACTCTTTTTCCTAAAAACATCATAAATTCCTGTGATTTTTTATCCTCTCAAATATTATGTACGCCAAAATTAGCATCGTAGGATTTTGTTTGTCAATGAACTGACATATTTTTCCTCAATTTTAGGCCTTAGTTGCACTTTTAGACCTTTGATTTTAAAAGATAAATATTTTATGACAAGCATCTAAAAGAAAAATGTAATACACCCGTTTAATTTATATGCCAATCTCATTGTTGCTGACAGGCAAATTTTCCAAATAAATTGTGAGATATATATTAATTCCCAAAATAATGGCTGATAAACATTCATCCAATTATCAGGCTAAGCAAAACAATATAATGAATCATCTAGAAGAATCATATTTGTTATTTTCTTTATCTTCAATAAATAATTTATTCGATTTGGAGGAAAAAAAGAAAATGGTAAATTCCACGGTTTTTAGTTTTAGCTAGAAAAATATTGTATCTCGGCTATAAGCATAACCAGTAACTGTGTATTCTCAACAGCGTGACTCACTTTAAACTGAAGATCCTCATGATTTCCTTCAGTTTTAGATAAAATTATTTTTATACAAGATAATTATCATTTAAAAAAATTTTTGGATTCCTAATTTATTATAATTTTAACTATAAGTGAACTAATAAATTATTCCGAAAATTTTTTCAAATTAATTTTGAAAAACCGAAAATACTTTTTCAATGTAAAGGAATTCAGCGTGACGCTTCTCGCCGATAGTTGTAAAGGTACGCAGATTAATTGTTCGAATATTTAAATATTCTTTTCATTATGAACCAATAGGAATATTATCGTATACGTCGAATATGAATAAATGATTGATTCTGTTTTCGAATTATTTAAAGAACAATAAACAATTTTCAAAAAAGTTATGTTTTTAAAATTGCAATTTTATTAAATCAGAAAATTTAATATTTGTTGTATGAAAATTTTATATAATTTTTATAAAAAGAATATTCAAATAATTCTAATTAAATATTTATTCATATGTATTTATCAAATACGAATACACTATTATTTGTATTCAAGAAAAGGCGATTAATATTTTATGAATTGTATACGCTTTTTCTTATATAATTTTTTAGCACAAGCAAAGCAAGAGATTAGAACGGATGATCAAAAATAGGGAAAGCGCTAGTTTATCTAGGAAACGCAAAAAAGAGGTTAAAATAAATATATATAATCATTAAAACTTGATCCCAAAGTAGAATCACTTACGAAACATGACTTAAATCAGTGGATAGCCACCTTTTTCGATTTATTTAAAGTGGTCAAAATTTATTTAAATATTCCAATTACTCTAATCTTATATCCATTTTATAAAATATAGTCAAAAAATAAATGTGACAAATTATTAAAAATTATCTTATATCTTACTAAATTTGTTATATATATATAATGGGTTGCATACACATGTCAAATTTTTTTCGCCAAAGGTATTACCGTGAATGAACTGCTAAAAAAATTTCGGCGAATACATTATCATGCTAGTATTTCTGAGAATATATTATTGTGAATTATTGTTGCGTATGTATTACAGAACATCATCTTTGTGAATACCATAAAGGCATTGTGACTATTTCGGCTGTAAGTAGCTATAGGTGTCTATTTGATTTTGCTGACTAGATAGTAATTAGTATCTGATTTTTTACCGATGGGTAATCACGTCCTATGCTCATGTTTCTAAGTTCATAATATATTATGTAATTTTTAGCGAAAGGGTTACAGCACTATTGGAATTGAAATAACCTTTTTTCTCTACTGGATAGAATACGTAATTTAATTTCATAGGAAAAGGGGGATTTAGAATTTATGAATTTAAATGACGACTGTTGCTTTTGGAATTAATTCTCAACATGACTTTATGCCAAATATAAGATAGATTTATTTGTTATAACGGACTGAAATTTTCCAAATAATATTTACAATGAAAATATATTTCTGACGATCACAAAAATTAAACTACATCGTTCACTCACAGAATTCCCAGGTCAAAAATTCCAAATTAATAAGGAAATTTTTTTTGTAGGACGAAGCTCTATCTTTAGGTGTGGAGAAGAGTTATTGGAAGTTGATTTATGTTTAATCATATTTGTAATTTATTACTCTTTACAAAATCATTAGTATTTATTCATTATAGTGCTTTCAAATTATTGCGTTTTTAAAATAATATATTACAATTTGGTAAACGTTTTTTTTGCATTTTTTAATATTTAATAAAGGCGAAATAGTTGGGGCTTTAGATTTTAGTTTTTAAATGTTATTTTTTGGCAACCACTTTTTTAAAAAAATAAATCACTATAAATTTGCTAGTAGGATTTTAGCCATACAACTTATATTTAAATAACAATAACTATTGGCCCAGTACACGTCCCAATCTGGATTTTGTATAAATATTAGGGAGTATAATGTCTATCTGTAAAAAGAATTTGTAAGAAAAAATATCAGTTTTCTTTTTATGTTTTGATAATTAGATGATTTTCACTAAAATTTTATTTCTTGTTAAAGGGCTATTATAGAGCTATAAAATTTAAATTATGGCTTTTATTTTTTGAGATATTTAAAGTTAATTAAATGAAGTGCATTTTCAAATTTTGGCGTTTTTGAAGATGGGAATATATCAAAAGTAAGCCGATTTGAAAAGTAAAATTTAAAATTTTTATTAGTTGGTATATATATACAAATTTTTTTAAAAAATAGAAGCGGATTGAGAATCGAGTTTTGGTTGATTTAATATGGAGTACAACATATTTGTAAATATGAATTAGATGCGAAATTTGTTAGCTAAAGGCTGTTGTTATCTATAGTTATTATATATATTTTTTTTCTGAATTCAATTAACAAAATCTGAAAAAATGGTATACCTATAATTATATTTATGTGCGTTAATTAATGCCTATAACTTTGAGTTTTGCCGTTCTTTATTTTTCTAAATAAAACGTAACATCCCTTGTTTAAATTGATGTGAGATTTTTAATTCTATAAAAAAAATTGAGTATGCTAGTTCGGAAAAAAAAAGTTAACCTTAAATTATAAAAAAAGTATTGAATAAAGAAAATCAGTTTGCTTTTTTTAAAATAGTCTCTAGCGCCAATTTGACAAATTTGTAATTCGTCATTTGCGTTTGAAACATTCAATTTATTCGCACTATTATCCTGTTTAGTTTCGATAGAATTTAAAAACATTTTATTATTTATAAAAAAAAAATTTTTTTAATCTACATAAAAAGCATGCGTATATTAAGAATATATTGAAAAAGATAATTGATATTAATCTAACCAAATATCTAATACATAAACTCTAGTAGGCAACGTTTCGATGAAATTTATGAAAAAATATTGTTAATGAATATTATTATAACCTTAGCACAAATCAAGCCTTACTTGAATGCACTTGCGGTTATTCTTTAACAGTAAAATTTTCGCGGCAATACCTTTCAGCTAAGCTTCACGTTAATAACATAATACGTGTAAAATAGTATAGAAAGAAGGGAAAAAAACAAAATGAAGCATTTTATTGTTAGGAGAGCAGAGTTTCAAACAGACGTCTCCTTCTGGTCCCCACTTATATGCCATATAATAGGATTAATCTAAAATAGGTTAGAGAGGTTAGGATTAGCCCATTAGGATTTTTATAAGTTGTCTGGCTTCTTAAAAATGAATTTACATAGGAAAAATTCTGAATTAATTTTTGTAGTAATGACCAGAAGAGTTCAAATTAGGGCTGTGCCGATCCACTTTACCACCCCCCTTTGAATAAAATGTATTTAAGAAATCAATATTTTTTATGCAAAAAATCGAATTATGCATTTAATTTAATTTTTTTATTTCTACAATAATTAAAAAAGTTTATGGATATTGGTAGTATTAAATGAATTTTTCTTTATTCTTCCCCGTGAAAGTAGATTTCTGCAGAAAACGCATTTTGCAAAATTATCTTTGAACTTTGGGTGTTCTTTTCTATTTTTAAAAAAAAACTTTTAAAATATTATAAATCTATTTTAAAAAATAAATAAAATTTAAAGGGTGTTGTGCATTTGCATTGTTAAAAAAAATCATTCAGAAAGTATTATTAATGTAAAATAAATATGAATAAAATAACAAAAAAAAAAGTAAAAAGATCGGATCGGGTTTTTACAGGTATCGGCTCGATCCAATATTTTGGAAAACGCTATATCGGTGACAATCCTATATTTAATATCGGCACAGCCCTAGTTCAAATAAAATTTATTCTTAGCGTATAAATTTTTTTAAGTTTAAAATTTTATTATGAAATTTTTAGCCCGCTAAAATACTTTACACAAATTTCACCCCCCTCCATTGTGCTTTTCGGATTTCTAAAAAATATTTGGCATGATATTTAAATTAATGAATTATTACTTTTAGTATATCAAGAGCCTGGAGAGTAGGGTAGAGCAATTGTCCAAGGAAAAGCGGGATTTAGAAATCATTAACGGAAGTCTGAAAACCAAAATAAATTCGCTAGAAACGGAGGTTTAAAAGATTTGTTAATTTTTATTTTGAAATATTTTGGAGGCTATTATCTTAATGTTTAAGCATGGTGATATTTGCATGTTTCACTTAAAGCTTACTAAAATAAAATAAAGATTAATATACACTCCCCCCCCCCTTCTAAAAAAATTTCATGATCAATTGTCATCGGGTCACCTTGGATTATTTATTTCTTTATAAAAAAAATTATAGTATACAACTTTTAATATGATAACATGTATATTCTTTTTTTTCAAACATCCCCTAACAATCAATCTCTCATGGCGCTCCTCTGAATTTTTTTAAAAAAAATCACTACATAACTCGGAATAGGATTTATAATAACAATCTACTCTTAAACGTCTATGTAAAGGAAGCGGCCACAAGATATCAAAGAGAGGTCTATAACCAATTGTTAGAATTCTATTTTTCATAAAGATATCTCTCGAACTCCAATCTAATGCATTTTTCTATTCTTTTTTAAATATAATTGTTCCAATATTTAGCCTCGTTATAATTTATATTTTTTCTTCAATATTTATGATAGGGACATTTTAAAATTTATAAATCATATTTATAATTATATTATTTTACATATTATAAATTATTAGACAATTATTATCTTCTTCGGGTGCTACTATTATGGGTAACATTTAAAAATATATACAAACTAATTGTGATATGTACGAATGAGTATATTTATTGTATGTAGATAAATTTTTATATTAAAACCAATTTTTTAGAATATATATTATAAGGGCTAACGGATGCTTTTTGTATATACTAGTGTAACATAATGCATGTTTATTTTATTGTCTATTCTATATTATACAAAATATAATGGTTTTAAATATTTCTCTTTTTTTTGTATAGTGTGATATATAAATTTTAATACGTTATAATATGATCTCGCTCGGTGCTAGCAACATCTAAATTTTAATATTTAATTGTTAATTTGAACACTAAACCCGATATTTATTATTGTTGCATACGATTTCGTTCTTTAGTTATGATCTTTATTACCATTATTCTTGTTTATATATTTTTTTACAGACAAAAATGATGTTGAATTTGATTCAAATTATTTGAAGTTATTAGTTTCTTGATATAATTATTATATATTAATAAACAAGTATTTAGGAAAAAAACATTGTATGTTGTGTTCATCTTTTCAAGAAAAGTTAATAAATACTTAGTGGCCTTATGACAATTGGTTTATCATATCAGTATTTATTGGTTAACGATTTAAATGTTTTAAAGCTTGCTAAATAAGATTTGGGATTTTGACCGATCAAGATTAAATATTGTGAAATATAAATAAATATGGTTTAGAAACAATAAATTAAACTTATATGCTTTTATATGAAATATTTTAAATATTATTCATATATTATTATATTGAATTTTATCTCATTCAAACTTGTTATTTTTTTTTACCCTAACTTTGTTAATTATTTTATTAAAAATAACTTGTAAAACTATGTATTAAAAAACATATAAGGACTATAATTTAAAATACATATTAAAAATATTTTAAATAACATACATTAAAAAAATATTCATCAACACCTGGCGACAGCCAGGAATTTTTAAATAATTTAAAATTATAACGTAAGAATACTAGACTAATTTGTTGTTTGAACAAAGAAGCCTTCGAAATTGTTTTATGGCTTGGCCGATTTGTTTGACTAGGATTTTAGCCTGTTTTCCGAATGAACAATTTGTTATACCACGATTGAATTAATTCACAGGCTTTGCCAAATTCGAAGGTAAAATTTTTCTTTCGTTAACTAGAGAAAACCTAGAATCTTGGGTATGATTTGATTTGCATTATATATTTCTCAAAATTTGACATCTTAATTTTATCATCAGCCTAATTACCCTTATCCTTTTGCACATTCAATAGTGAAGCTGTTAGGGGTTTTGACATAGGGTCCATGATTTGCCTTTTTTTTACCCTTAATAATTTGTTTCAATTGAACTGATTTTCCCAGCCATCACATATTAAATGTTCTCCAAACACTTCTTCATAAGGCTACTTTATTAGCACCGATAATGATTAAAGTAAACGTTGTAAAATGTAATGTGATATATTTAAAACGCCATTAGAATTTATATTATTCGAGTTACTTTATTTAATCTAACCATAAGGTTAAATTCAAAATAAACAGAAAATGTAAAATATTATAAATCTTTTCGCAAATTAATAATGCTGATTTTCATAATATCGAGGAGTGTTTAAACAAAAATAATCTTTCCTCATTTTGAATGGAATAATTAAAATTTATGTTCGGGAATAGAAATATAATAAAAATTTGAATATAAGATCCCTTTTTGATAAGCTTTTTTTTCACGCACCCTGCATTCACAGTTGGTGCGGATTTGTGTGTAAAATACAAAAATAGAGTGTATTTTGTATAATTTGTCGTTTTGCTAACTATTAATGAGGGGTTAAAAAGTTTTTTGGGTTTTTGAGATTTGCTTGGCTTGCGATATATTTTTAAAATAAAGATACGACTCCATACAAACTTATAGATTCTACATTAATCTGTTTATTAAATAATTAAGTTAAATTTAAATATTAATTATAATGATAATATAAGTGCCCCAGCATACTTATTATTTTTTAAATATTTCTTTCTTAGATGTCAATCAATAATAATATTGCTTATTGTTGATTGGTAGTTTAAACAAAGAATTATAATAAATAAAAAAATTAAGTATCCAAAATAATTGTTATATTTTGATATAGATAACATGTTTAGCAAATAAAATATATAGAAAGTACAAAAAAAGTAGGAAAAGACTCAAACCTATGCCAAATTATTAGAATAATATGTGCTAGGTTTGTTAAAACCCCGATTCTGGTCGACTTTTAAAACGACTCGATTAAGATTTTAGCCATAATATATTATGTAAGCCTGGGGATTTAGCTCATAAATAGGAGAAAGTGTTGGATCATTTGCCAAATCTCTACATAATATTATTTTGACTAAAATCTTAATCGGGTCTTTAGTAACCTTAGTTGAAGTTTACAAATAATTTTGCAAAATATTTACCTTTGCATATCTTTTAACATTGACTCCAATCATTTTATAATTTAAAATGATAATAATTGGCGTTAACCACCAAAAAAAAATAAGAAAATAATATAAAATTATAACAATAAAAACGCAGTAGATTTTGCTCGTTTGTTTAAAAAACAGCTTTTGTTTAAACTATTGACACGTATAAATTAGTCAGATGCTAATGTTAGAAATCACCGAAGAAAAATTAAATGCAATGTATTATGTGTAACATCTGCAGTATCGTAAAATTTCTCCATTCAAGCCGGTTTTGAGGCGACTCAAAAAATTACAGCATAATTTTTAGTCTAAAACTATCACCTCAGCTTTGAGGTTATGTCTCAACCTTGTGGAAAACAGGAAAAATTAAGTCATTTATCAAGACTTTACAAAAAATTTTCTGGACATGCCTTAAGATCGAGCCATATTAGATAGTCGTATTCTAATATCGAATCACATCTTCATTTTGTTGAACTATATTTACCTATGTATTTTAAGACTTGTAAGCCATGGCTATTTAATAACTAAACTTTGTTTTTATCTAAAAATACAACCTCAATCTAGGGTTTAAAAATATGTATAGCTCATCACGCATTTCTAATCTTTATGCTCCGACTAACTTAAATCATATTTTTATTAGGTGACGGTTAAAGTCCCAATGTTAACTGATAAAAAAATGACTTTGTGAGTTTAATTTACTCTAAAATGGTTAAATTCTTTATTGTGAACATGTATAATTTAATTTTATCCATGATATAAGAAAAGAGAGGAAGCAAGGAAAAAAAGAGAGAAAGAAAGAAATGATTATAGTTATTGTTGCATAATATAATTTAATATCATAATATACAAAGTTAATTGAAGCTTTAAACTATGACTATTTACATATACAAAAAAAATCACTAAATAATATATTATTTTATTTCTACATACGAAGCCTCAAACCATCAATTGATTTACCTTAAATTGATTTACTAGATATATATATATTTGAAGTTGTTGACTTTCTATGTACGTGATAATTTTAATTGTTAATAAAAAATTACTTTTTGATATCGTTATTATTTATTCTAAAGCAAACGAAACCAGACTTACATATTCTTATTCTATTACTTATTCTTTTTAGAGCAACCAGACTTACATATTCTTATTCTACTACCGATTCTTTTTAGCGCAATTATTCTTTATTTGCATCATGGTGGAGGATAGGGGCATAATAACATAAAAGTCTTACTCAAAACCCTTGACCTAAAATTTATTGCCGAAAACATAACTGATGAATCCACTAAAAAATATAAACTGTTCGAGACAATAAATAAAGATTTGGCGGTGAGTATAATGGATTCGATTGATAATTTATCATATGACGCAAATAAAGAATAATTCCGCTAAAAAAGAATCGGTAGTAGAATAAGAATATGTAAGTCTGGTTGCTCTAAAAAGAATAAGTAATAGGATAAGAATATGTAAGTCTGGTTTCGTTTGCTTTAGAATAAATAATAACGATATCAAAAAGTAATTTTTTATTAACAACTAAAATTATCACGTACATAGAAAGTCAACAACTTCAAATATATATATATATCTAATAAATCAATTGATGGTTTGAGGCTTCGTATGTAAAAATAAAATGATGTCAGTTATTAAAAATAATAATATTTAATTATATTTTTGTTTAAAAAAACATGAATTTTTCTAGAATTGCGTTTTAAAGAAAGTTTTACCCTTGTTGAAAGCCACCAAACCAGGCGTCTTCTTTGGCGTTGCCTTTTTATTCTTATACTTTTTACCATTCCTGTAAGAGCCTTTAATTTTTCTATAATTAACAAATATGTATTGAGGAAGTAAGGTATTTAATGAAGAAGGAGATATAATTAATGTCGGTAAATTATTAGAAAGCTGCGTTAAAGCGAGTATTTAATTTTTTGGAGGATAATCAGTGTGAATGTTTCTTATACTTTTTCTTTTTAACCCCCCCCCCTCCCATTTACAACACAATTAATCAGAACCAACAACCGTAATAATAACCACTCGTACCTCGATTCATTACCCGTTGGGGGTCCCCACTCAAATTTAGCCCCTCGTTCAGTTTCTTACAAAGGCCGTTTGCTAATGTCGAAATCGATAGATTCCGATTATTATATCGATATGTTAAATCAATCCGCTTACCCTTTACCCCATAACGTTAAAAACATTACCGCCAAAAATCGCCTTATTAATTTGAACCGAAGGGGGTGGCTTGAATCCCTTCTGCGCGCATATTTTTACAATCCCAGCAACGCCGATTACCAACATATGACGAATTTGGGAAATTTAAGAAATTTGAGTCGTTCGACGACCAATGTTCAGCCCATTTTCGATAGTGACGATGCTAAAAAGTAATATGTTCCTATATTTTATCTAATTTTGCGTCAGGGAAGTTTACTACATTTTTATTAATCTTACCACAAAATTGGAGGGTTTTGTATATTTTGCAGTAGTTATGTCATTTCACGGGACCGTAGCCAAGAATTTCCATCTGGGGGCAGCTCCTTACTTGGGGGGGGGGGGGGGATTATATTTTTAAAATAAATTAGTAATTAAGCATTCATAGAAATTTTTTGCTATTTTTGTTAAAAATTTGTAAATGTAATATGAATACAAAATAATACTATAATATGAATATACAAAATAATACTATAATATGAATATACAAAATAATACTATAATATAATACAACGATTTTTATTTTTAATAAATTCTGTATTATTCTTTTTCCATGAGCCATTAATATTAAATTTTGTTTACGATCTTTCATCGATTCTCTGGTGCTCGATAGAACTCTCTTTAGTGTAGAGAATGAGGCCTCACAAGAAACTGTAGAAATTCCCAATGATGATGGCTTCTGAGCAGCATTTATACAATTATTTAAATGTAAAATGATATTTTTTTATAACATTTAAGTTTATTAATGATTCTAATTGGGCCATTTTATCTGATATAAAATAATCAGGGTCAAGGTAAGGACAATGTATTAAAATATGATAGATGATTATAATCATCTTATGTAAAGTAAATCTATCTAAAAAGCGATCAACAAAGTAATCAATAATTTCATAATAATTCTTTTTTATAGAACTCCAATTGGAGTCTTTTCACTTTATATGCGTTTTACGACCCTCGATGACTTTTGAGGAATAAAGTTTTTGAACCTTAATTCTAAACAAATCAAAAGAATTATCACTTCTTTTATTTTTTAATATATTGATCATGTAATCAATACAATTTTTAGCATCCACTAGATTAGTACCTACTGACTGTAGATCTTATTTAGTGGATCTATTGTTACTGATATCTCATAAATTATAATGGTTTTATTTTTATAGTCAAAACAATAGATTCTTTATTATAAAATTGTTTCCTATATATAGTCTTTTATAATTATGTCATTTAACTACTACTAATATGCAATTACATTGACCTCCATTAGATAATATAAAATGTAAGAAATATATAATTCAAATAGCATAACCTTTTAAAATATATATAAACATTCAAATATCACATATCTTCTTTGTTTAACTGGTCGTGTTTTACTACAGAGGTTTCTAATTTTTCAGTAATTGATGGGGTTTCACCCAGTCTAATAAAGTATTTAGTCTTCTCCCCATAAATAGTTTGGCAGGTATTCGGCCCGTTGAGGAATGTTCGGAATTTCTATATGTAACTAATACTTCATTAAGGCATTTTTCCCCATCATTTGTTTGTTCTCTATTAGCAAAATACCGATTTTTTATAGTTTGTATGCATCTTTCAACTAATCCGTTACTTCTCGGATGGTATGGTATAGTTTTATGTGTTGTATATTCTTATTTTTGCACCATTTGTAAAATTCATTTGAAATGAATTTTGGACCATTGTCTGTGACAATTTGACATGGAACACCATATCGTGTAAGCCATTTTTCTAATCTATTTATTAAATTTTTACTTGTGGTATCTTGGATTCTATCGATCTCTATCCATTTTGAATATGCATCGATTCCTAGCAGCCAATAAAATCCGTCTAGTGGTCCGGCAAAATCTAAATGTACCCTTTCCCAGGGTTGTGCTGGCGGATTCCATGGTTATACGGCAACTTCTAGTATATCTCTGCGATGTTTTTGACACCCAATAAAGCGGTTTTTCGACATCTTTATCTAATTTTTCCCACCATATATAATGTCTCGTAATGGATTTCATCGATGTAATACCGGGATGACCTGTATGTAATATCTGTAAAACTCGTTTTTGTAGTGAATATGGAATTATTAAGCGACCATTCCAAAATAGGATACCGTTATCATTTTCTATTTCATCTATTCTTGTTCTAAAAGCTTGTAATTCTGGTGCTTGATTTTGTATATTTGTACCATTTAATAATATTTTTACTCTTCTTAAAATTGGATCTTTCGCAGTTTCATCTCTAAGTTCTTTTCTTGATAGAGTTAATGTGTCATAAGTAAGATTTCGTATATATTTCACTGTTTTATTTTCAATTTTTGCTATTAATTCTTCAAACGTTGGTATAATGTGATAGTCTTTTAGTAGTAGAAATTTATTTAACGTTACTTTGAAATCTCCACATAATCGTAGTTCACCTGAAGTTTTACATACCACTACCATTGGAGTACTCCAGGTTACTCTTGTTGTTGATGGATCTATTTTCTTGATTATATTATTTTCTTCCAAACGTTTCAGTTCATTTTCAATTTCTACTTTTAAAGGCAACGGTACTCTTCTAGCTGGCAGTGCAATTGGTTTTGTATTTTCTTCCAATTGTAGTTTTACTGGTTCGACATTTTTAATTAATCCTAATTTAGTATCAAACACCGTAGCAAATTCTTTATATAGTTTGTATTTACGTTACCATTATCATTATATTTATATCTATTGTTGATCATATTGATATTTACATTTTTTGGTAACGATAAGTCAAATTCAATAATCCATGGAAATCCAAATAGAGCTGCATCATTTGTTTGTGTGACAAATAATGAAAGCCATAATTGTCTTTTACATCAGCTTCACCCATAATTTTTATTCTATTATTTCCATATGTAGTTGGTGCTTTAGCCCTTCTAAGTTTTGGCCTTCCGATTTTATTCCATATTATTTCATTAATAATGGTTACTGCCGAGCCAGTATCATATTCCATTTTAATTTTGGATGTTGCCCATATTTGTATATTTTTCTTATTGAGACATCCGAATCGTCTTCTTTATTATTGTAATTTGTTCCTTTTCTTTAGCTTTACAACATACGGCGAAGTGGTTTGGTTTCCTACATTTGCTGCACGATTTTCCGTAGGCGGGACAACATGAAACCGATTACAGAAATAGCATGGTTTTCTCCAATTACTATTATTATTTGTATGGTAGTTATTATACCCGGGCACTAGTTCTCTTTTTACATATGCTTTATTATCCTTTTGATAGTGCCGTTTATCATTATTATTATACTGCCGATTATTTTTATCATGTTGATTTATCCGATTATTATCATGTTTATTCGGCTCTTTGATTTTATATACCATTTTAGCAGTATTATTTATTTCTAAGTCTCGTTTCATCGCTAAAGCCAATTCTACCACTTTGTTTAAGCGTAACGGTTGGTCTTCGTCTTTAGTATCTGGATATCTTAATCGTAGTTCTTTATCCAGTTGTGACATCTTTAGTTCGGCGATTAATTGATCTCGAATTCTCAGTTCTACATTGTCTTCAAATTCGCATCTTCGGGCTAGCTCCTTTATATTTTTTTAAATTGCTCATTACGGATTCAGTAGCCCCGCGACTTAATCTAATGAAATCAATTCTTGATGCCAAAATAGTTCTTTCATCTTTATATAGTTGTTTTGCTATTTTATATATGTCAATCTATCCTACTTCCTCTATATTCCTAGGATAGAGTAATTTTTTGATATCAGTTGTAATGTTTATTCCTCCATAAGCTATAAATAATTTTTTTTAAATGGCGTCAGTTTGAGGAATATTTTTCATATTTGATATAATCAACGTGGTCCTCGATAGAACAATTTCCTTTTTAAAGTCCTGGAGAATAATTTTATCCATAATTTCTAAATATATATAATTTTTTTCTTTATAAACAGAATTTTTTTTATAATTCTATATATTATTAAACTTGACCGAAAATCGCGCGACTTAGATTTTTTTTTTATTTCGTCGCCATTTTTTTATAGTCAAAACAATAGATTTTTAATTATAAAATTGTTTCCTATATATAGTCTTTTATAATTATGTCATTTAACTACTACTAATATGCAATTACATTGACCTCCATAAGATAATATAAAATGTAAGAAATGTATAATTCAAATAGCGTAACCTTTTAAAATATATGTTGAATTCCATATTAAATCAACCAAAAAAAGTCGATTCTCAACCCGACCCCCTTCGATTTTTTTAAAAATTTGTATGTTGGTAGTATATACACTAACTAATAAAAATGTAAAATTTTACTTTTCAAATCGGCTTACTTCATGAGATATGGCCATCTTTAGAAACGCGAAAATTCCAAAATACAGTATATTTAATTTTAAATATCCAAAAAGTAATTAAGCTGAATGCATGATTTAAATTTTATTAAATAGCTCTAAAATAGCCCTTTAATATGATATAAAAATTATTTTATTATAAAAAGTCTATTACTAAAAACCGGAAATAGAAAACCAGAAATAGCTATAAAATAAAAATTGCTCTTTTTTTTTCTTTCAAATTTTTTTTACAAATAGACATTATACTTCTTAATATTTGTACATAATTTTAGATTGGGACCATTACTGGGCCAATAGTTATTACGCTTTAAATATAAATAGTATGGCTTAAATCCTAAATTATACCAAATATATAGTAATTTACGAAACAAATAAAAAGAAAATTCCTTTATGATCGGGCAGATTATATTTTTTTATAAATGTTTTGGGCTGTGAGCCCACTAGTAGACATTATGTTATATTTAACATATAAGTTTAGCGATTTTATTTTAGAGAGAAAATAATTGTAAAAATATTTATAACTTTATTTAGCTAATTATTTATATTACATGAATATAAAATGGAAAATTATTAAATTAAATAATATCATACATTAAATTATCTAATGAATTAGAGTAACGTTTGACTTTCATTTTTTCCATTAACTTTCATTGATATAAAATTATTCATACCTGGCATAAGTCTGCTGTTTTCGTCAGAATTATAAAATTCTATTACTTTATTTGCAATGTCATCCGGAATTATTCTACTTGGCTTTATGATATTTGGATTTGACAAAACACCCTTTTCTTCAACTAATTGTTTAGCTATCCGGGACATAAAATTTGTGGTTGAAAATTCCTTTTCA